CCTAGTATGTAGCGGGTGCCATGTTTTTCTGAAGAATGATGAATAATGGCATAGCGAATGCTGACCTACTACACAAAAATGCATTTATTATGAAAAAGGGGGCCATGCAAGTAAGCTTGAAGTAATTCCGCTAAGACTCAAAAAAAATATTGGTAGATCCTCAACTTTGTCTTTAAGATGTGTACCTGATAGCGATATCCCTTACCTATTGTGAATACATTGTATCACCATAAAATGGCGTTACTTTGTGACAGGTTTCACATGTTTTTCTTCTCTTGCTATGGAATTATCATCATAAAGGCGAATGAATAATGGCACAACGTTTCTAAAACCTTCCCTCCCACGATGGAATGTTTTACAAATTTACATCTTTATTACGACCTGTATATAGCCGTATACAGGTCAAAACTGTCAATGTTGCCCTATCGTGCGGCGTAACTTTGTAACATTGTTTTTGGCTAAGTATTATAGAGAAATAAAGGCTGGCACAAATTTACCTGATCAAAAGTTCATTTGAGTTATCTAAAATTAGTTTTTGCTCTAACAACGTTACAGTTCTATGAAAACTTATTTGTACATGTGCCTCCTCAGTCAAGATCTTTTACCTCAAAAATGCCCCTTTTTCCTACTGGCCTAGAGAATTCCATTGAGTAGAGAATTTGTTCTTTTGAGTACAAAATTGCATCTTTGTGGTCCAGCCATCTACAATTATTTTGGGTCATCTCCATGGTGCTGACAATGTGCCCGTCTGGTTTGACTGCCGTCAAGCTTACCGGGTAAAGTTGTGCTTCAAAGTTCACTACGACTAAGTGATCCTTCTTGAAGGTTCTTTCTCCCATGGGTCTTGAAGGTTCTTTCTCCCATTCGCACTATGGGTCCTTGTGACGTTGCTAGTACTTGGTATCACGAAAATAATAGGAGTGTCTGTTAAAGATAGGTTGTCAAGACTTCTGGAGAGTACCTCGGAATCACTTGTACCTCTTTCCGACCACTTTTGTTGTTGCCAGGCTGACCATCTGAATACAGGAGCTTAGCCAGAGGGTGGCACACCGAGCACGTGCCCCCTCCTCTCTCCCCTCCAAATTTTTTTCATGATAGCATAGAGAGTGAAAAATGGCCTATTTAGGGGGGTGCCCTTCCCGAAATCAATTCCCGAAAACAATTTCTGGCTACATGCCTGTCTGAAGACAATTACTTGTCACTGCTTTTCTCTGCGCTATTGTCCTCAAGAGGAGACCTCTTCGAAGGTTGTCTAGCTTGGATACAGTAGGAAAAACTGCCCTTCTTGGGGTAACTTTGCGACAGTTGGGGTGTCACAAAGTTATCCCCCGAAGTTGCAATATTTCAGTGTCTTTTTATAACATCAAGCAGACATAATTTTATTAAATTTGTATCTCAGTTTATTTTAGCCTACATAACAACTATCAGAAGTAGATACGAGTTATCGCTATTTTTCTCATGGGGAAGGGTCGAGCACACCGTTTCCGGTGCTTCAATAATGCGCACCAGAACACCATTTAACACGTCGGCGTAGAAAGTGGCAATGCAGCATCGTAACTTTGGTCGGCTCCCACAAGGTCACTTGGCATGTTAGGCAAGCTTTTTGAGCAGGCTATTGCTTTTCGGCGGCACCTGGTCATGGCGTGAGATTTAAAATACAGAAACCTAAGTGCGTGTCACAAAGTAATCTCTGCAGTGACAAAGTAACCTCATTTTATGGTATATGATGTTACATGAGAAGTTTAAGTTGTAGATTGCTACAATGTAATTGATAAAGTTGAAAGTAGCTTGTGTCAGTGAAGCTATCACATTTGGCTGCATTTTGTCTTATGGGTAGTGTGTTTTAAACCACGAACAATAATGTACAATAAATGTTTTCAAGCTTTCTATGCGCCCACTATGTGGTCTGAAAGGAGCACTTACATCAAATTTTAGAATCAAGATGTGCCCTTTATTCAGTTGCTTGGTATGCGTCAGTCCTCTTGGTCAAATTTGAATTGCGTTCATCGCATGTAAGTTATTTTATCTTGAAGACAAACAGTGTATGAGATTAATTTGCAATTAATAATAATAAACAACCTTGGACGCTAGAAGTAAAAAGCGTAGTTGATACACTGGAAGGGCATCAATATTCTAGGATGTTTATAAGTGATACCCAGAAGCACATGTGAAAAGAAATGGGGAAATGGGTCACAAGTGAAGACAACATCCAATGTGTCTATTTCTGATGTTCAAGGTGTATCAGACCCTGTTCGGAGGGCTATACGTCTGCTGGGCGCAAAGCTGTCTTTGGAACATGTGTTCATGAAAATCTACAAGCACGATATGGGAATCACAATGCGATTTAGCATTGGCGGAATGGGCAGGAAAGGATCGACAAATGGGATATTGCTAAAGCAACTCATGCAACGCGTTCTAGGACAGAGTTTGTTGAACACTGCTGGACAAATGGACATAGCTTTGACCTAAGCAATGCGATAATGCTGGCGCGTGAGCGAAGTTTGGGGGGAGGGGAAGAAAAAACAGCGAGTCGGACTTTACCTGTTGCAATCAGTTCCAAAGAGGTTTTAAAAAATAATTCGCTAGTTCACAGTATTTGTGGCTCTCAACCGTATTGTGCTCTGCTACATTCTAGCTGCCTGTGAAACAAGATTAGCTCGGAGCCTCGGATTAAGGAGACTAAACTTGGCGTCCTAATGATTCACCGATACACGAAGAGCAGAGCTAGCAGCTCAAGTGACCAAAAGGATATATATGTGGAAAAAAAAAAAAAAAAACGAACGTGAACTTAGTTTTTGCCACCTCCACTTTCAAGCTGTGAGGGGAGCGGTGTTGTGAAAAGGTGGAGAGGAAGTGGGAAAGTAACTAACGCTATTTCCCTTACAGTTACTGCATAAAAAAGTAGCAGTGTTACAGTTACTGGTTCCTCTAACTTAAAAGTACCTAGTTACAGTTACAAGTTACTGAAAAAGTAACTAGTTACCTGTAACGCGTTACTAGTAACTGGTTACTGCCCAAGACTGCTAACAAGTAACATGCAGGTATCATTAATAGTGAATTTTAGTTTGTCCGTAGACTTTGCATCCATATAATACCGGGTTACTGCCGCTGCCACCATAGGAGACCGGATAGGTGGGGCCATTTAGGTGCAAAGAAGAACCTGGCAAGCAGGGAACATCCTCTATTTCTCCGCTGGTTCACATTCTCTATATTGATATTTCATTGGCATCTTTGTGTATACCTGAATGATAGCGCATGCCAAAACTCCCCAATTGAGACACACGAGCGAGCAAGGCCAAAGCATGCATCCTCGGGCACCTTCTTATTGCTGCTTTAAATGGTGTTCATTTTGGAATTGCTGTTCTGAAAAAGATTGATCGAAGCAAGAATGATTCCTAACAATACGAATTGCGAAATTTCAAGCTCCAGACTGTCATATTCAACCCTAGTTGGCACTTCGTACAGTGACGACGGCAATGCAGGTGACAAGGCATGACTGAATGTGTGTGCCTAGCAAACGAAATGTTTGAGAAACAGCTGAGCCTGACATCACTCTTTTCTATGGAAAAGTAGTCAGCTATGGCCCGATCTGAAAGTTATCTCGAGAAAGCGCTCTCAGCTCTAAAAATAGTGGGCTCGCCAGCTGTTTTGAATCGTGCTAGATACCAGTGATAGGAATAAATAAGAGTGATATTTTTTCGTCCATCAGTTGCAATTTAGGCCACAAATTACTACTAGGGGGTCGACAGCTATTCGTTGATGCAAAAACCTTAATATGTGTATATTTTATGTCAGTGCTCTTTTAAAATACATTCAGTAACTTGTGTGCCTTATGTAATGAATGGCCACCTTTAAACCACAAAGTCATTATGACAATCTCGTGACATCCTTTAACTTGTATCATGAGATATTACTGCAATATTGTTGTATTGTGAAGCTTGTATGCAGGATATGCTTGTGTTTACAAACAAGAGTTATTTTCACTTCATTCATGTAGAGGAAGCTATCACTGTAGTATTTCGAAGCAGACATGTGGCTGTGTGGTTAAACACCTGGTTGCCATGCAAATTGCCTGAGTTCAGTCCTCACTCAGACCCAGAAGTTTTTGTCATTTTATTTGCAACATTCTCGATTTTTCGATGACGTACGAGTGCATAATTTTTTGCTCACAACTGATAATGCAGATGCCAGAATTTTTGCGAAACTAGCTAATTAACTTTATCGCGTTAAAAGGCTCTGGTAACGCTGCTTTTCCAGCTTTTCTTGTGACTGTGTTGCACATTCCATACTGTCCTGTTGGTTTTTTTTTTATACAGCGTTGAAAGCTTGATCACAGACAGAACCATCTGGCTGCTGTCAGTGTTCTGTGAGTGACAATAGGTTCGAGCTTGTCTTTCATCATGAGGTTTGATGTCGACACCTGTGATGGCTTCGTCCAGCTGTCTTCATTCTTGTCAACGGTGCATGACATTTTGCACTTCACAGCCAGACGCTCATAGGCAGAACTGAACACTACGGTGGTGGTGGGAGCAGTTATGCAGATGACATCGCCACCGAAATTGGCTTTTATCATGAGCCCATAACAGCTTCTGCTGTAAAATAAAACAGTGCAGATGTGACAGTTTGTCCAATATGTTACATCTATACTGGATAATTTAACTGTCAGCATTTTATCTGCTCCTTGTTGAGCCTTGCAGTGGCAGACTCCCATGCTACAAATACAGGAGGCCATATATGTTTTTTGCGGACACAAGTACCAATCGAATTTAACCTATTTTTCATCATCATTCACATCCCTACTTTACCTAGAACACCAATCTGTTTTTCTGCATCTTGTGCTGCTTTCACTTTGCCATGAATAGACTGCATGCTGATGCCTGTTTTTGCTAGCTCTTGCACAGAGTTTTGTGAGCTTAAATCAGGAACTCTATCAGACTCAGCCTGTCAGATTTGATACACAAGACTCTGTGGGGCCTAATTTCTGCTGTCTCTCTATGTAGGGTCGAAGTTGGCTGGCTGCTAGACTCACCCAGCAGTGAACTCAAGTGGGAGGTGTATTCAAAATATGCTGCACCAGCAAAGGGTGCTGCCAGCCTCCCTGCCGAGGTCACCTATGTCTCCATCATTCACCACAAGGAGAAGCCATTTGGTGCATACCGGCTGCAGGTGAGGAGCTCCACGGAGCCCTGCCTGACATGGGAGCTCCGGCACAACATCACGTCTGAACCATGGCTGTACACCTCAAATGTCTCCTACGCGTGCGACCCTCTCACACACGGAACTGATGTGGCTAAGGCACACATGGACCTTACAGTTCTCTCCGAGTCACCTCTCTGGAAACTTCTGAATGTGGACCTGAAACGTGGGTTCCTTCAAATTTTATTACAGGCTCATCGTTAAGTTATACTACATTTTTGAAAGTGCTATGTGCTTTTAACCTTTAAGTCATTGTTGAAAATTTCAAATTTCACTTGGCAGGGGCTATTCATAGAAGTCTCGTGTTGGGCAACCTCCCCGTTCTTCCGTTGTTCTTCTCCTAGTGTTGGGCTGGTTAGTACATAGCTTCGAAAATTGACGAACCCAGCCTTGAAAGCCACGCACTCAAGAAGAGAAGATCTGACAACGACACTAAGCATGCGTGATCATCAAATATTTTTTTCATTTATGTATGTATCTTGCGAGGCTAGGTTTTCAATTTACTAGGCTATTTATAGATGTTCATGGCCTGATATTTTCTATTATTTGTGGTGCTCGAGGGGCCTCACCTTGGCACCTCTTCACCTAGCGTCGGCGTTGTGCTATCTCTGAGTCAGCTTGATTTTGCCACCCAGTGGTAACATAGTGGACATGGGTGCCGTGCCAAACTTTTTTGAGTCATCGCAAGTGACACAGGGACAAAAAAAAGAAGAGTACAACACCAGTGCTACTATCAACTGAAGGTTTTATTCAGAAAAGGAACATTTATATATCAATGTAGTCATCCTCTGCCCATGCGCACCGTCGTATAATTTCAAATCCATGTCTATCGTACCATATCTCATGTGTTCATTATCCACTTTAGCAGTGACACTTCTTTCTCGAAAATTGTCACTGATGGGTGGCCGATACAGGATGATTGCCTAATGTTGATGTGAAATCCCTTCGCGATTTCTCGTGTGGTGCAATCATGGTGCTTAAACAAAATGATTGTATTTGAAAAGCTTGCCTTGCATTCACACTTTGCACATTGTAAGGCCAAATGTGTTAGCGGGTTGCCCTTGATGACTGGTGCTCCCTTAGGTGAATATTTATGCATCGACCAGTCTGCCCCACATACACTCGTCCGCATGTGAGAAGAATACGGTAAACAAGGTTAAATGCACATGGAACAAAACAGACCTTGTGCTTAATCTTGCAAGTTTCCAAGATAAAATTTGTGACACCCAATGGAAATTAACCTGTACCTCTCTGTTTAATACAAGCTGTGAAACAAATGATCTGTGTTGTACAGAATCTGTGTTAACCAAGTACCTAATGAGATTATATGCTTGAGAAGGGGGAATTGACAGCCGCTAGTTTGTTTATACCAAAAGGTAAAACACGCAAAAAAAAAAAAATATGGCGACAGAATAAACACTTATAATAGACGAGTGCAGACTATAAACTGAAGTTTATTTCAGGAAACAAAACTGTAACTGCAGTATTGTGTGGCGTACGCACTGCACGGAGAACACAGGGCACAGGGCTAAAGGGCCGGCCGACCGAGGTATGCAGCAGCCGGTAGCCGAGCAGGAACTCCTTCTATGTACACAAGCATGCTATTATAAACATATGTACAATGTCCTCTAGGGGCCGGCCAACCGCTTCCGAAACCGGAACCAAAACCGTGACACCACATCACCCCCCCCCCCCCCTTGAAATGAAGATGATAGATGTACAATGTAACAGTGTGAAGATATGTACAGCAAACACACGGAAATGCAAAGGTGATGCACCCTTGAAAAAGAATAACAACTTCACATCATCTCCTCCTCGAATAGAAAGCAGGGGGGGGGTAACACGTAACACAAGCACACACTACATGTAGCACGATGAAGGATATGAATGTACAGCAAGCACACTATCAAACCAAGCAAGCCACATGAAAGCAAAGCACAGTGCAAAATATATCGCCCATCATGCCCTCCTTCACGAGAGCATGCAGCGTAGTCACTGCGATGTTTAAGTGTACAGCGCTGATGCCTGTAGCGGTGCCATTTCAACGACAGGTGTCTGAACTGTCGCCGCCCACAGCAGTCTGGTAAAGTGAACGAATAGGCCCGTGAGCTCTGTATCCACGGTACTTTCAGCACTGTTGGGGCCGGAACAGGCAGGTAATGACGCTCTGATGAAGCCTGGCTCGGTGCCACTAATGCAGAACCCGCACCACGAGCAGGTATGGACACGGTCGGGGTAGACGCGACCAGCGGAAGCACCTCGGCATCACGTAGAATAGGGACCGACTCCGGAATCACGGCTAGAACACTTGGCAGATGCACCTCCGGTGGACACTGAATAGACACAGTCTCCCAAAGAGGATCACTAGTCTGAAGAAGTACAGCCAGAGCAGCAGGAGCGGCATGCAGAACGGGAGCAGGCACAAGCAAAGGATGGACAGCTGATTCAGTAAAAGTATGGTCAGCAGCAGCAGACAGGATTGGAACAGCCATCCTTGCAACTGCTCTCCCAGTCGAATCAGGTGGAACCATGGTATGCTCAACTGCTGGCAACACGGCAGGAGCAGCCGCCTCAGGAGCACGACCAGCTGGGACGCTAACAGTTGCAGCGCAAGCGAGCACGCTCCTAGTCCGAGCAGGGATCGTCACTGCACGTGAAGTTGAAGTATGGCCCAGTAGAATTTGAGAAATTTCCCCAGGCCTCGTAGGGGCCAATGGCACAGCAGGGTTAGTAGCATAACATTGAAGCAGTATGGGTCGAGGAGGACGAACGCTTTAGTATTGATGCTCGCGTCGCGTAATTGAGTCAGCCTGCAGAGCAGCCAGCTGCTGCAACGAGCGGTCGACGTGCTGCTCTTCTCTGGCATGTTCCTATTCTGCCTTGACTGTGAAAGCGTGCCCCATCTGAACAAATGACCTTAGCAGGTCGGGGTCACGCAGGCCGTGCAAAATCTGGTCCTGTACCATTGTCTCTGCTGCGGTGCTGAAATTGCAGTCCTTGGCCAACCGCCGCAATACTAAAATTAATTGCACGGGAGTCTCGTCCGGTTCTTGAACCCTCTGCCATAATCGGGCTCGTTCGCAGAAAGCTCCTTCAGGCAACGCGAATTTAGCATTCAGAACGGCTAAGGCCTGTTGGTGCGCGTCGCATGTTGCACCATCTCTTGAAGCCTGGACGACGTCAAGCAGCGTCTGCTCGTCAGCAGCCTTGTAGTATGCTTGTGATCTCTCCACTCGAAGCGCGTTGTGCAGTAATGCCTTCTTCGCGTCTGGCATAGCGTTCGGGGCCACCGCGCAGATGTACACTTGCAAGACGCATCGCCAAGTCTTCCAGGGAATCGGAGGCACACTAGGGCATTGCAGGAACAGAGGTGGTGAATTTGCGGGAACATGCTGTTGTCGAGACAGACTGGATGCGGAGAAAATAAAGTTGGAGCCGCCCCACGTGTAAAGGTCTGGACTCTGCAGTCTCCGAGGTCATGAAATGGTGATCCGCAGAACTGAAGTATCAGTGGGCTGTATTCAGAGTGCTGAACATGGTAGCACTAGTAGCAAATAGTCGTATGCCCATCTTGGCTGGATGCATGCGGATCCCGATGACCAAACTGGCATAAAAATGCGTAAAAGTAGGAATGAATGCAGAAAATACAGTACCGGTGGGACAGCTTGCATAGGTGCTGAGTCGGCAGCACGAGGAAGAAGGCTGGATGCCCACCTTGACGCCTGATGCACGTGGATTGAAGATCCTCGTTGCCAAAATGTAGGGCAAGGTTCCTTTTGGCGTTGCATAAGTGGTTGCCAGACTGGAAGGGTGGTTGTTGCCAGACTGCTGCTAAATTTGGCTGAAAATATTTTTTCAGTAGTTGTGGCTGCTTCGTGAGAGTTTGGTGCTATCCGCGGTGCATTTCGCGAGTGCATGAGCGACGCTGGCCCTTTTAATTAACGGAATGAACCGAGCCTAGCAGAAGTCGAGCGCGGTGCTGCCGTGTAATTAAGAGGCCGTTTTAATTCCGTTTTAATTAACGGAATGAACCGCGCATTAGAGAATTCGTTTTATTTACGGAATGAACCGCGCCTAGCAGAAGTCGAGTCTGGGGCAGCCGCGCAATTAAGAGGCCAATTTAATTAACGGAATAAACCGCGCCTAGCAGAAGTCGAGCGCGGCGCTGCTGCGCAATTAGGAGGCCGTTTTAATTAACGGAATGCACCGTCCATTACAGAAGTCGAGGCGCGTTCTCTTGCTGTGTGCACAGCTGTGCGATTAAGATATCGCGTCTCAGTATTAGGGATGACGGGGAAAATTGAATAGAGTCGCAGGAGGTGATGCGCTGCCCCCTCCCCCATACTTTTCTTTTTTTTCCTCTCAGCTGATCGTGTTGCGTCGACCGCGCGCTACGACGGGGGACGCTACGCTTCCCCTAGCTGTGTCAGCACAAGACATATCGTTCGGACTCGTATATACATGTGATGAATAAGCGTTCCAAGGCTGGTTAATTAGGGCATGTCGGATATGCTACAGCTATGTACGCCTGGCGAAATGCACCGCGGATAGCACCAAACTCTTACGGAGAAGCCACAACTACAGGAGAAAAATTTTCAACCAAATTTAGCGGCAGTCTGGCAACAACCACCCCAAAGTCTGGCAACAAACTTATGCAACGCCAAAAGGAACCTTGCCAAATGTAGCATCGTGCGGCGGGTGCGCCGCTTAGAGAACACAAGTCACGGCGCTGAAGCGCCGGTTGACAAGACGTATGGAGCAGCCGGTAGCCAAGCAGGAACTCCTTTTATGTACACAAGCATGCTATTATATACATATGTACAACGCCCTCTAGGGGCTATCCAACCGGTTCCAAAACCAGAACCAAAACCACGACTCCACAGTAAACATACCTGTAAAATGAAACAACACCATGATGATGTGCTGAGGCTCTATCATGACATGAATGTAATCTCCTTTTGTTCAAATGGTTCTGACATGCAATTAATGCACGTGTCTCCTGTGCAAGCTTGTAGGATTTCTCTGCCTAATTTATTACTAGATTGCATCAAAAATTTTGTCTAAGAATTGGACGACAGTTGCAGTGCTTACAGTGCTATACCGAATTCTCACCCACGTTGTTAACTGTTCAGTTGTGCTCGTGCCTTTTTGTTGTAGCAGTGCCCTGTTTGCCCTATGTACACTTTGTTGCATGTTAGGGGAACTTCACAGACATATTTTTTTTTTATTGCGTGGGCTGTACTACGTGTCTCTTGATGCACAGAACTGGTCTTGCTTTGTTTATCATCGAACAAATGTTGGACAGTTTACATGGGGGACTGAAAACAAGATTAATATTATGTTTTTGTGCAACTTTCTTCAGATTGTGTGAAACATTATGCCAATAGGAGATAACATGCACCCTCGCCTTATTGGCTAGCTTTTCTTTGCCACCCACCTGCCTTTCCTGTTTGAGCTTTTGATGAAGCTTCTCACCAACGCTGGAAAGTGAAAATAATGGAAAGCCCGCTTGTATCAGCCTGGTTACATGATTTCAAAGGCTAGCTTTTACTCTGTGTGTGTGTAGGACTTATTTGGTGCTTCCTTTAAACACATCATTACAACACCCCTCTTTATTAACTTGGAATGGGCACTGTCACAGGAAATCAGCCGCTTCATAGCCCATGTCCTGTACTTCGATTTGTAGCATAAAGTCACAAGGAAATCCATACAGATTTCTCAATACAGATTTCTCCATATGAATGATTCTGGTATCTCATACAAATTTCTTCCTATGAATGATTATACAATCTCATACGAATTTCTCTACACAAGTGATTATGAAATACTATATGGAATCCACATGAAAATTTATTGTTCAAAAATTCAAATGGAGTTTCTTGTGGCTTTGTGCAGCAAACAGTTGGTTCTCACTTTTATTTTCTCAACCCTTTCACCACCTTGCAGAGTGGGGAGAATGTCAAGGGAAGTCAGTGGGCCATGCACAACTTGACATTTAGTCTGCAAGTTCATTTACAATGCGAAGATGTGTGTTTAAGAACCAGGTGCCTGCAAATATTGTAACATTGGGCAGCACAAAACACTGCGTGAGATGTTGGTGTCATCTCTCAATCTTTCTACTGATGGAAAGTGTAGAGGCTTGTTTTCTTTGATAGACACAATATTATTGAAAACTAACAGATAATGATACTACAGAGAGTATAAGAGATGTTATTAAAAGTAATTGTGATGTAAATGTGAAGAAAGAAAAGTGGACAAAAAGATAACTTGCCTTCCAGGATTCCAATTTGCGACCTTCGAAAAATGCGTCTACGACTGAGTTACAGTCGCGGTCATCCCCACGTCTGCTTTATAGGGTATACATGTGGCATTTAAATGGATGGATGGATGGATGGATATGGCTGTACACTTTAGATCGGGCGGTGGCTAGCGCCACCAAGCCGTAATACCTAATGAACCAAAAACTATATTTTTTTTCCTTAAAAAGTGAGTTTGAGGATTCGTACTTTGCAGTGAAGAGTTTAATTTTCACTCGTGTCTTGACTTTAGCCACCAATCAGATAACCTCCTTCTGGTTAAGTCTACCCGCTTAAAGTTTATTTTGCCCTCCCGGTCCCTAAACCCCAATGCTTTGAAAAACTCTGCGCCATCATCCTGAACTATAGGGTGAAGCCCTTTACAGAACATTATCAAGTGTTCGGCAGTTTCTTCTTCCTCTCCACACGCACTGCATACTGTGTCTACCCCTTCGTATTTGGCCCGATATGTCTTGGTTCGCAGTACTCCCGTCCTGGCCTCAAACAGTAGAGAACTACCCCGAGTATTATCATAGATCCTTTCCTTGGCAATTTCCTGCTTAAAAGTTCGATAGATCTCTAGTGCGGACTTCTTAATCATGCCCATTCTCCACATGTCAGTCTCCGTTTCCTTCACTTTATTCTTAACCGATAGTTCTTTTTCGTTTGGCCACCTGCTGTTTTCTAAGTATTTACCAGTCAACTTCCTGGTTCGCTTCCTCCATTTTGTATCGACATTCTTCATGTACAAGTAGCTGAAAACCTTCCTAGCCCAACGCTCTTCCCCCATTTCTCTCAATCGTTTCTCAAATTTTATCTTGCTGCTAGCTTCCCTGCCCTCAAATGATGTCCATCCCATATCACCTTGTACTCCCTGATTTGGTGTATTCCCGTGAGCTCCTAAAGCAAGCCTACCTATTCCACGTTGCTTAATTTCTAATCTTGCTTGAACTTCTGATCTCATGCACAAGACCGCATTGCCGAACGTCAGCCCAGGAACCATGACCCCTTTCCATATTCCTCTCACAACATCATACCTATTGTAATTCCACAGTGCCCTATTTTTCATGACTGCTGCATTCCTGTTACCTTTAGTCGTCACGTATATTTCGTGTTCCCTCAGATACTCGGTCCCATTGCTTATCCATACGCCCAGATATTTGTATTTATCTGTTATCTCCAGCGTGACCTCCTGTATTCTAAGCTCACTACCTTCGTTGTCATTGAAAATCATGACTGCTGATTTTTCCTTACTGAATCTAAAATCTAACCTATCTCCCTCATTACTGCAAATGTCCATCAATCTCTGCAAATCTTCCTTGTTGTTGGCCATTAGCACTATATCATCTGCGTACATTAATGCTGGTAGTGCCTGATCAATTAGTTTTCCTTGTTTGACTACAGAGAGGTTGAAGCCCAGTCCACTTCCCTCTAATTTTGCCTCTAATCCTTGTAGGTACATCATGAATAATAAGGGTGACAGGGGGCACCCCTGCCTAAGCCCCCGTTTTACCTCTGCAAGCTTGGATACCTGTTTTTCCCACTTTATAACTACCTTGTTACCTTTATAGATACCCTTTAAAAGATTGTGGATTGTGGAAAAGATTGTGGAAGATTAAAAGATGTGGAACCTTCACCCAGCGCCACCTGCTGGCATTACAGCGACACTTTTTGCCCTGTTTGGCGTCACGTAGTATGCGATCTTATTACAAGATGGCAGCTGACCAATAATCTCTCACACACTACCTCAAGGCATCAAGTCTGCTGCAAGCGAAACTACGTAGTAGATGCAAATAAAGATACGAGTCAGCGGGCATTTGCACTTTGGCTTTTCTTGTGACACAATGTATACATATCTACCGAGAAGTGAAGGTAGGCTAGTGATGGTGTGTGTGAATGTGTGTAAATGCATGCATGCATGCATGTGTATATTGCTGCCGTGTTCAACAGGTAAAACTTAAGGGTCCCCCAATTTTTCGAGGCAGCTTCTCAGCCATCTCAAAGTGTGCCTGCGGTTGTAACTTGGCTGATTGCTGAAACTGAAATTAGAAATGAGGCTCATACTCAATGCTCAATGGGCTCAGCATTGCTTCAAGCAAGTTTGATTTCGTCTAACCTTCTTGAGGTTCTTCTGTGCTGCTGGGAACTGCACGCTTGCAGCTGAAAAATGGCTTTCCCTTTCTTTCGCCCAACCTTGCTGACAGAGGCCTTTGAACTTGGCACAGCTGGTCATGAAGTGATGAATTTGACATCTCCGTACGGTCAAGTGGTGGTGACTGGTCGGTGGGATGCGCAGTCTATGGTGAAAGAATCAAGATTTACTGACAAGGTGAGCACAGCTGCTTGCGTTCACGAAATCGTCTTTGGGTTAAGAATACACATTGTTAAGGGGAGCACAACATGTACTTTCAGTTGTTTTCAAGTGCTTAAAAAGTGTTATCTGGCAAACAAATGCCATAATAAAAACCATTACATTTTCCAACTTACATACAAAACCTACAGGTGTACCTAAGGAATGAGATCTTGCAACTGCAAAAGGTATGACAACATCTGTGCCTTTTTGTATGAGGCACTGGTACAACAGACAATTGGCAATGATTCGCCCGCATGGTTGGCCACCCTACCTCCCCGTTAGTTCAAAATCTTACAAAAGGTACTGCATTTTAAAGACAATATGTTCTAAAAGATGTATTATTGTTGAACCGTGGTCAACAACCTCACTTGTGACAGATGTTCAGACTTAAATATATCATACCATTAGCTTTTAACTGTTGTTAATTCATTGTAGAAAGAAACGAAATATCACCCAGAGGCATCACTTACAGGGACATGTGCTACCATAAAGCAGCTCAACAGTGAAGCATTGCAAAGTTGTTGTATTGGAGAAAACAGGCATTGTGTTCTCTGCAGCAATGCACAAAGTTACTTGCTTAACTTGTGAACAAAGGGTGTACATCTCGAGCAAATGCCTCCTTTTCGGGAGATTCGAAATATGCACTAAACACCAAGCAAGCACCCCCTTTATATCCTCCCATTGCCTTTTTTTGAAAATATTTTCTCTGTTGAAGAATCCTGCCGCAACAGTTTCCAGATACCTATGTTCTGAGAGCTTTCAGACATGCGTTTATTTTTTTTTTTTTTTTCACTGTGGATCCTCTAGCTTGCATTCTGAGTTGTCACAGAAGCCTTCCATATAGATAGATGCACAAACAATGTATTAGTCAACTTTCGGTGGCTAACAGTTAGGGAGTATTGTTTTTTAAATTCTATTTAGCCATGTCTTGTATGTTTGCCTGTCACATGACTTGCACATGCACTGAACAGATTTCCATTTCATTTCATTTTATTTCATTTCCTTAAAGACCCGCGAGGGGGTATTACATAAGGGGTGGATAATTATAAACACAAAACATAGAAGCCAAAGATTTAACATAAAAAGTGATTATTGATATTTTCTATGAACGATGATGGGCAGAGAATGGTTGCAATTTCACTGGGAAGGCCGTTCCAGTCTGGTGCGGTACGTGAAAAAAACGAGGCAGAAAAAGTAGAAGTCCGGGAGCATGGCCGAGCAACTTGAAGCAAATGGCCCGTGCGGTGAGATATGCGTGTTACAGGAATGATATAAGGTGGGGCATGCAAAGGACTATGAAAAAGTTTGTGGAACAATGACAGGCTAGCTATACGATGGCGAAGTTCTAGATCTGGTAAGCCAGATTTTGCTTTCAATTCAGATACGCTGACAGTTGAAGAGTATGAACAGTGAATAAATCTAGTGGCCCGGTTTTGAAGCGATTCGATGGCATGTGTGAGATAAGATTGTCGAGGGTCCCAAATTGGCGATGCGTATTCTAGTTTAGGTCGAACGATGGATTTGTATGCTTGTAATTTTACGTGTTGTGGAGCGAGGCGTAAATGGCATTTAAGGAAACCCAGTGTTTTATTTGCAGATGAAATAATATTAGTGATGTGTATGTTCCATGAAAGATCGCTACAAAGAGTGACGCCCAAATACTTGAATGACGGAACATTTTCTAGCGGAATGGCATTAACTGCGTACGGATACACAAGCGGCATGTGGCGGCAATGGAATGAAGCGACTTTACATTTACTCGGGTTAAGTTCCATGAGCCAGCGCTCACACCATTCCTGGAGGCAGTTTAGGTTGGCTTGTAAGAATGACTGTTTTGAAGTGTCAGTAACAGTATCATATTGTCACAAGGTCGTGACGTGGCCAAAGACAGGAGACTTTGTGTTGGTATTTAACTGTTTATTCGGGCGAACCTGTGCCCTGTAAACGGAACCTGTGCCCTGTAAACGGAGGCCGTCTGGTGTTATAAACGCCGTCTTCTCTCGGTCTCTTTCGTCGACTTCGATTTGCCCATAGCCAGTCTTAGGTCCATCGACGAAAAGTACTTGGCGTTATGGAGCCGATCAAGTGCGTCGTCTATTCGTGGGAGAGGATACACGTCCTTTCTTGTGATTTTGTTCAGGCGGCGATAATCGACGCAGAAACATAGGGTCCCATCCTTTTTATTCACCAACACCACGGGGGATGCCCATGGACTCTTGGACGGCTGGATAATGTCATCCCGCAGCATTTCATCAACTTCTCTCTTCATGGCCTCACGTTCTCGCGTCAAAACCCTGTACGGGATCTGACGAAGTGGTCTGGCATTTTCTTCGGTTATGATGCGATGTTTCGTGATTGGGGTCTGCCGAATTTTCGATGACGACGAAAAGCAATCTTCGTATTGCAGGAGCAGGGCCTTGAGCTGTTCTTGCTTATTGTTCGGAAGTCTGGGATTGACGTCGAAAGCTATGGGAGGGGCTTGGTTCCTCTGAGCAGGTTCGCAGAATCGGCGGCGAGGGCGAAAGCACTGGTGGCTTCGACAATTTCTTCTATGTATGCGACCATTGTTCCTTTGTTCACATGTTTGTACTCATTGCTGAAATTCGTGAGCATAACCGTTGCTTTGCCTCCCCGCAGCTCTGTGATTCCTCTTGCCACGGAAATATTTCGGGTGACCAAGAGATGCTGACTGCCTTCAACGATGCCTTCCAAGTCAGGTGATTTAGGAGCGCCGACTGAAATAATGACGCTTGAGCGAGGCGGAATGGTGACTTGTTCTTCCAGCACATTCAAGGCATGGTGTCCTGACGGCAAGCGCGGCGGTAGTGCTTCTTTTGTGGATAACGTTATCGACTTTGTTTTTAAGTTGATGACAGCACCATGGAGGCATAAGAAGTCCATGCCAAGGATGACATCTCTCGAGCAACGCTGTAGGACTACGAAGTCTGTAAGATAAATACGGCCGTTAATGGTGACTCTCGCTGTGCAGATTCCTGCAGGCGTTACGAGCTGACCTCCGGCTGTGTGAATTTCAGGGCCTTTCCAAGCTGTCCTAACTTTCTTTAACTTCGCGGCGAACGACCCACTGATGACAGAATAGTCGGCTCTAGTATCAACGAGAGCAGTCACACTGTGGCCGTCGATAAGAACGTCGAGGTCGCTAGTTCGCCGTCTCGCATTACAATTAGGGCGTGGCGTCGCGTCACGGCTGCGTCGGCTTGTTCCGCTGCTTCCATGTTGCGTCATCAGGCCACCTTCGGTAAGTGAGCTTTTGCCGTCAGGGCTTTGCCTGGTTGGCGTTGTGTTCGGAAAGCTCCATTGTGGCGTCGGCGTCGTTGGAGGATCTTCGGTAGTTCGTCGCACAGCAACCGCACCTCCACGGGTTGCTGCCCTTAGTTTCCCGGATACGGGCTAGGAAGCCGGCCCCGCGTTGGGCCGGAGTACTGCTAGGGGTGCGGTGACATGTGGCGGCAGGGGGACGGCGAGCAGGAAGGACTTCGTGGTGTCCATTGAGTTCCTGTCAGGTAGTCGGCGATGTCACGTGGCCGTTTCCCTGGCTGCGGACGTGGTGCATCGACGGCGAAGCCACGCAGTCCCATCTGTCGATACTGGCAACGGCGGTAAGTGTGCCCGGCCTCGCCGCAGTGGTAGCACAGTGGGCGGTGGTCAGGGGTGCACCAAACGTCGGTTTTCCTCGGCGCACTGCGCTGGCCCGCTGGCGAACGATAGGTCGTCGGTGGGGGTGGTGGCGGCGGTGGTGTCTGGCGACGGAAGTGCGATGGGGCGGCATTTTAGCGTGCGCGTGGAGGAGGGGCGTGGCGGCGTGCTGCAGCAGCATAGCTCATGACTTGCAGCTGCAGCTCTTGAGGCTGAGGAACCCCCAGCGACTGCTGGATCTCCTGGCGTACGACGTCCGCGATGGATTCCACGTGAGGCTGCGCTGAAGGAAGTAATTTTCGCAGCTCCTCTTGCACGATTGCTCGGATCGTCTCACGCAAGTCAGTGGTTCCGAGCGCTTGAATGTCGGCGTAGCTTGTAGACGAGAAGCTACGGTTATATTGCCGCGTGCGCATCTCGAGCGTGTTCTCTATCGTAGATGCTTCTGAAATGAATTCGGCGACCGTCTTAGGCAGGTTTCTGATCAGCCCGGCGAAGAGTTCCTGCTTCACTCCTCGCATAAATAGACGCACCTTCTTCTCCTCAGACATGTCGGAGTCAGCGTGGCAGAAGAGTTTAATCATATATTCCGTGAATATCGCCACGTTTTCATTTGGCATCTGCATGCAGATTTCGAGGAGAGCTGCGGCCTTCTCCTTGCGCACCACACTTGCGAAAGTTGTGAGGAACCTGGCGCGAAAGGCGTCCCACGTTGTAAGGCTTCACTCTTGATTCTCGAACCAGGTCCGAGCAGCATTTTCCAAGGCGAAATACACATGCCGTAGTTTTTCTTCGTCTGTTCAGTCATTGAAGGCGGCGACGCGGTCGATCCTTTCGATCCAGCTTTCTGCGTCTTCCAGTGGCGAACCGCAGAAAGTTGGCGGCTCTTTGGATTGCCGGAGCAGGAGTGGTGCAGGTAGAACCGGCGTTGACATGGTCGCCGTGGTCGACGTCAACGTCTTGGTTTTCCGAGCCTTGTCCAGTAAAAGCCCGTACTCCGATGGCAGACCTTGTTGCCTGTGGCTAACTCGCTGCTCGTTGCTGGCGTCGGTGTCTTCACGGCGTGGGCTGGGTTCACAGCTTGACGGAGGCGTCCGGTACATGGAAGAAATAGCACCTCCACCAGATGTCACGGGGTCGTGACGTGGCCGAAGACAGAAGACTTCGTGTTGGGATTTAACTGTTTATTTGGGCGAACCTGTGCCCGGTAAACGGAAAGTCCAATTACAGCAGCAGTCTTGCACAGATAGCAGTCTCGGACTGATAGCGGCGAACGGAGCATCGGCCTTGGATTAACAACTGACAAGCGGCGAAGAGCG